TTTTTTTAAATCAAATTTACTAACACGGAAGCGCCAGTGCCACACTCCTGCTCAAATATTCCTCCTATTCCTCCGGTATGAAATTTTACAAATTGCAGATACTATACTAATTTTACACTGACTTATTTTTACATAGAGATGTGGAAGCATGGATTTATTTTAACATTGAAATATTTTTTCATAGATTTTTTTGCGGATAGAATTAATTTACATAGAGTTATTCTTGCATGGATATATTTTTAAATAGACAAATTTTTCATATATAAATATTCCCTAGAAATATATTACATAGAAATATCTGACATGGAGCTATTTACATAGAGATATGAGTTCATTTTTTCGACTCGGGACGTCTTTGGCGAAATCTGCCATTAAATATTATAAATTCATGTAGCCTCGAGGTTTTCAAATCAACCTTATTTGATTACTTATTGGAATTCAATTTTGGTTAAATTTTGGAAAACATATGTATCATTTACTATACTTCTTTTGAATACACACTATTGAAAATGCCAATTAAAATTTAAATTACAAGCGAACAATTATACTTATAAATAAGTTTATTTATAAACAAGTTTCTTAGTTAAATCTATTATAAATCTACCATAAAAAATTTACAATATCTCACTGTTATGAATTTTTCATAAAAGCTCTATATCTAATCATAATTATTATCTTTATCAAATATAAATATTGTACTCATAGCATGTTGTTATCTGCGTCTATCACACTATTGTATTATTAAAGTTTGCCATTTGACAATTAAGACTTGGTGTAATAAATAAATAAATAAATATAATATTGTTAACGGCTAAATTTTTAAATATGGATCGAAACAGTTGCAGCGCGCTCTAGAGAAAAAAAACTTCTTTTTTTTTTCTATATTTCAGGGACATTTGTACACACAGTGAGTATGCTTAGCCGAACTATATAAGTCCTGAGTAAACTTAGTTAGCCTAAGTATAGTCAAAGCATTCCCTGCTATACATATATCTATCTACTATACTATACATATCTTACTAAGTTTACTCAGGACTTAGTTCGGCTGAACACGCTCAATCACTTGCAGTGCAGCCACTGATCTCCACTCTGTCATAATCTTATTAATCTTACTTGAGTGTTTGTTAGTAAGGTTGAAAAGTAATTGCAGTAATATTATTTTGTGATTGTTTCTTCATAGTGAAAATATTATTGTCGTGATATAGTTGTTTGAGTTTACAGTACATCTAAAAGAAAAATCATGTCAGTTGATAGCAAAATAAATTTGGTTGATAAAAAAAAAGCACGAGGTTATTCTCATTTAGAGATGCATTCGATTGTTTACACGTGGGAAATTAATAAAATTACCCATTTTCTCGAGTCTACTAAAGGTATTGAAGAAAATGTCATAAATTCACCTGAGTTTTCAACAAGTGCTAAACTAAAAGATTCATGGTTCCTACAACTGAAAATTCAAAACGATGATCAATCCTCAAAAAATGAAACGTGGGTTTCTTTATCTTTAATGCCAAAACATAAAAATTTGAAAGTCCGAGCGAAGTATTTGTTATTTTTTTTGAACAATAAAAAAGAAAAAATAGTAAGTGGAGGTAAAAGTTATAATCAATCATTAGATGCATGGATTAGTCACCATTTTGTAAGTTCACCTGCAGGCCGTGGTTTTTCAAATTTCATGAAAATAGAGGATCTACTACAGAATAAAGATGAACTTCTTAAAAACGATACCTTAACAGTTTGTGTTGATCTGATTATTTATGATGAATACGTCACACAGAATAATCCAATAACTAATTCATTAGAAGATTCTGATGGAACATTGAACAAGGATTTTGAAAATCTTTTGATTTCTAAAAAAAATTGCGATGTAGTTATCACCGTCGGTGACGAAAAGTTTGATGCTCATAAGGTTGTATTGATAACCCGCAGCAATGTTTTTGAAGCTATGTTTGAGCACGATATGAAAGAGTCGAAGAAAAATGAAGTAGATATACCAGACGTTGATCCAGGAGTATTCAGAAGAGTGCTAGAATTTATTTACACCGATAAAGTCGAGGATTTAGATAGTTTTGCTGATGAATTACTAGAGGCTTCCGATAAGTATCAGATTCACGGACTTAAAAAAATGTGTGAAACTTCTCTATCCAAAACTTTATCTTTTAAAAACGCTGTAAGGATACTGATTTTGGCAGATCGCCACAGTGCAGAACGATTAAAGGAATTTACAATGGATTTCGTAGTCGCTAATTTGGCCGAACTACAAAATACTGAAGAGTTTAAACGATTGGAAAAGTCTCAAGAATCCCTTGCATATGCTGTACTGAAAAAATTTATTGGTGAAATTCAAACTAATAACGGTATGTTACAATAATTATTTGATTGAATAATAACCATAATCAGAGAGTTTGATTTCCTATTTTTGGTCTTAATTTTCTTTCAGATTCATTCACTGCAGCTTTTTAATCTACTGAGGACTTTTGGATCGATCTTCTTGGTTATAAAAGCTCCTATTAAAAATACTCTTTCATAAATAATAATTAATTAAATATGTCTATAAAAATGACATTATTTATTTATTTAATTTAATTTGATAGAATTAAATTATTTTTAACTAAATTACGTATGTCTCTTAATTAAATAATTTAATATTTCACGGACAAATTAAGTCTTAAATGAATTTATTAGAGATTTTTTTTTATTTAAATACAAAAAAGATAAAGTTTGCCGTAAGAATAATTTTTCTTGCACAGATTAATCTTCTTGATTAAAAAAATTCTTATTTAAAATACTCTCTTAAATATAATAAGTAGTTGCATTTGTAAAAATCAATGCATTTGTTTATAAAAATAACATATCTTTTATTTAATTGATAATTTAATAGTATTATATTATTTTTAAATAAATTACTCATGTTAATTGCATCTTTGACTACTGGGACTAGATATTAATAATTTAATGTGCAATTTTGAAAATATATATTCATTTTATTGATAAGAATTTTTTTTATTGTGCATACACTTCTTTTTTATTTTAATATGATAGTCATGTAGGTTTTTAAGAAAAATATATTATTTAATTTAAAGTAGGTGTTTTTTAAATTGAGAAAATTTTTCATTTTCAAATACAAATTCACTAGTTGTTGCAACAAGTCAATAACGATTTTCAAAAAATTTTTTAAACAAAATTTTGAAAATCAGATATTTTTTAAAAAATACACACGGGTGCTAAATTTATTGAAAATCAATTTTCAAGATGGTAAAATTTTTGAATTAAACAAAAAAATTTGATTGAGAATTAAAGAATCATTAAATATATACTATCGCAACTTAACTGTCTCAAAGTCTAAATAATGAAATAAAAATAATAAATAGCATGTCAGTTGTGACTTAAATAAACAGAAAAAGGAGACGGAGGCTGTGTTAGGTAGAAATCTTGAAGAAACAGTTTCCAAGTCAAACCAAGCTCCGAGTGCTTGAATTTAAATAATTATTATTTATTCTTAGATATTTAATATCCGCTGCATCTCACTAATTAATTACATTAATTACATAAAATAATTAAATTATGAAGATAAATAACTTTGCGTTTATTTTAAAGATCTATTATCTAATAAACAGCCCCTTCTATTAATTTGAAAACTTTAGAATAATATTTAAATAATTACTAAAGCAATAAAATTAATTCTTAATAAATTCTAGGTGTATAATGGCGGCGTCAAGTGGTTCGACGAGTCCCATTCACTGGTCATCATGCTCACTTGAGTACTTAGCATTGGCATTTGAGCACGGAATGGACTACTGCCTTCGCAACAAACCCGCAAAGTTATTTGACAGCCCGATCTGTGGCAACGGGTTCGTGGAGCCTGGAGAGCAATGCGATTGTGGGCTAAAGGAAAATTGCGACAATCCGTGTTGCAACGCCTCAACTTGCATGCTGCATTCAAATGCCAGCTGCGCGACGGGGGAGTGTTGCGATCTAAAGACATGCAAACCCAAAAACGCCGGCGTTGAATGTCGGAATGCCGAACACGAATGCGATTTGTCGGAGTACTGCACTGGGCAGAGCGAATTCTGTCCCAAAGACGTTTTCAAGATCGATGGAGAGAGCTGCAATATGGGCAAGGCATTCTGCTATCAAGGAAGCTGCAGGACTCACAATGATCAATGTAAATTGCTCTGGGGTCCCAGTGGCTCTTCCTCAGATTCTCAATGCTACAATATGAATAACAAAGGCACCAAGTTGGGCAATTGTGGATACAATCGATTGAATTCTAGTTACATCAAATGTGATGATCCGTAAGTTTCTTATTAGATATTTTATTTCAATTATTGTAAATTCTATTGGTAACTTTGGTGTATTAAATCAATACTTTTTCTATGTTTTTTGTTTTTTGAAATAAAAAAAAAAGTGAAATTTGCTTACACGGATAAAAAAAAAGCTATCATGATTAGAAATGTCTTTTCAAAAAAAAAAATCAATATTCATGCCCAATAATCTAATAAATTCAATAAAGATTCACGGGTATATGTGATTGCTGAGATTTGTGGACTATAAATAAGAAAACTTTGAGAATAAATTTTAAAAATAATAGTGCTATGACAGGAACAATAACAAATAATTAAATGGACAAATGTGACGGAACAAATTTATAGAACCAACAATTTATTCAAAACTGCCCCAAGAACTTAAGAGGGAACACCACTGTGACAATCGAAAAAAAGAGGTAATTTTCGGAAATTTTTTTAACAGGGAAAATAAAGGAATTTGGGGATCGGATTTTTTCATTTTATTAAGGGTATATTAAAGATTATTACCCTAAATTATTATTAAAAAATATTTAATTATTACAATAATTTTGCTAATAATTTTAACAATCTCGTAGAGCACTAGAAAAAATTTCTCCCTCCATGGTTGGTTCGATAACTCAAAAACGGATCATCTGAAAATAAAAACCCAAACTGCTTTTTAATCAGTAAGGATGTAGTGATCGTCGCACGTACGGAATTCTGAAAATTTTAATTTAAAAAAAAAATGTTTTTTTTTTTTTAATCCGGCTAGAAAAATCTTTAAAATAAAAATTTTTTTAATTGCGTACGTGCGACGATCACTACATCCTTACTGATTAAAGAGCAATTTAGGTTTTTATTTTCAGATGATCCGTTTTTGAGTTATCGAACCGACCATAGAGGAGGAAATTTTTCTAGTACTCTACGAGATTGTTAATAACTTTGTAATAATTAAATATTTAAAAAAAACATTTAGGGTAATAATCTTTAATGTACCCTTAATAAAATAAAAAACTCCGATTCCCAAATTCCTTTATTTTCCCTGTCAAAAAAATTCCCGAAAATCACCTCTATTTTTCGATCGTCACAGTGATGTTCCCCTTTAACATAAAAAATTGACTTTCACTAAAAAATATATGAAACCATGAAATGGCACAAATTTTTATCAAGACCTTTTTGATGATACCAAATTTAACTATAAAAAAATTCCTTTAAAAATAATAAATGACTATCGCTGAAAAAATATCAAAATTAATTTACGATAGATTTACTCTTTACAAAATTTTTATTAGTCTCTTAATTATGTAAATTAAGTTTTCACATATAACCACATTCACATGTACAAAACAAAATAAATAAATAAATAAACAAATTTTATTGATCGCGAAATTTGAATCCATTTAGAACAACTTCGTAAACTCATAATCATAATAAATTAACTATTGCTAAAAAGCATATGAAACATTGGAAAGGTACAAATTCAGGTCAAAACCTTTCCAATGATACTAAATTTAATTTTAAAAACTCAGTTAATCATATAAATATGTTGGAGACAAAATTAAAATAGCAAAGTGATTCATTGGAATAAAATTTTTCTATACTGAAAAAAAAAAAAAAAAAAAAAAAAAAAAAATCGACTTGATTCAAGAGAAGAATTATTGAACTTTATCGTCTTGATACAAGTAGAAAAATTTTTGAACTGAGAAATTTTTTTTTTGTTTAAGTAAGTTTAATTTAATTTAAAGTTTTATTGTCTTGATTTAAAAGAATGGAATTTTTCAAAATGATTTTCGTGATTCAAAGATTTTTCTTTTGAATAAAATCAATTTATATTTCAGTGTATAGTCATAGTTGAAATTTAATTTATTATATTGAATAGTTAATTTCTTGGATTAAGAAACCCGAATATGTTGAAAAAGTAAATAATGTTGAAGAAAAAGCATTATCATCACATTAAAAAATTTTTCGTCATTGTGTAAAGTGTAAAAATGTTTGTGTAGAATTTAACATTTTAGTATGTTGATTCAACACAAATTGTGTAAAAAAAGTCATCAACACAAATTTTTGTGTTAAATTTGACGAAAAATTTTTTACTGTGCACTTCGTATAATTTTCAAATGGGCATGAAATATGTTAAAAAACAAAATTAGACAATTTTTAAAACCCTAATGAATTTCGTTAATTTATTAAATTATTATTGCAGAAATATTTTATGTGGAATGCTGCATTGCAAACATTTAAATGAAAGACTGGAATTCGGCATGGAGTCGGTAGCAATATTGAGTCATTCATTCATCAACAACGGTGGTAAAATAATAGCATGCAGATCAGCGATGGTTGACTTGGGTCTCAATCAGGTTGATCCTGGATTATCACCCGACGGCGCTAAGTGTGCGCCAGGAAAAGTAATTAACCATTCAAACGATTTTTACTTACAATAAATGATAAAGAAACCAACTTTCTAAAGTTTATTGAATTAATTAAAAATTTTTGTTTTTATTTTAGATGTGTGTAAATCAAAAATGTATGCCGATAGCAGATCTAAGAACAATTACAGTTGGCCGTAATATATGCCCAAATAATTGCGGTGGCAATGGCGTATGTAATAGTTTAGGACATTGCCATTGTAATCGTGGTTTTCGACCACCGGATTGTGTTCAACCTGGATACGGTGGATCTGATGACAGTGGACCTGCCGAAGATCCTAATGGTAACTTTTGGTTACTTGATTATTCATCTATTTACTTATTTTTTTTACATAATAAGTTCATAAGTACTTGAAGCAACTTTTAAATTGAGCGTAAGCAATCGAAAGAGTTTGATTACTTCTCAGAACTGCTCGATAGACATCGGGAACTCAGATACGTGAAAAAATGGTTAAGTAGCCATTAGTAAAAAAAAATTTCAAATTTAATTTTTTTTTTTAATTTATGAACTTTTCAAAAAATTGATACCTTACATACTATTAAAAAATTTTTTTTTGACGAAATAAGATAGATTACCAACCAATTATCTCACAAAGTATTCCAAAAAAGTTTGATTAAAGTAGTTGTCATGGTACAATATTGTCAAAAAATTAAAGATTATACGCGCCGCAAAAGTATATGAGCTTGTAGCTAAGTAATCCATAATATCCATAATTTTTACGCAAGGCTGTATCCGTGGAAACGCAACTCATACAATTGTTTCTGTCCGTCTCCGTAGATATAAACTTTTTCAAAAATTTTTGAACTTTAATCTGTTATTTATAAATAACTAGCTTTATAGAATTGCAGTTTTAGCTCTAGACTTGAAATTTAAATAGAGTATTGTTTAGATGCACAGATTCAAAATTCTATCGAATTGGCATGTACCTTTTATCCGAGTAATTATTCTAGATAATATTCATTTTAACTTTCAGTGTGCAGTCATTATAACATTCCCGTATTTTTTTTACAAAAATTAATAACAATTGTTATGAAAAAAAAAAATTAGTAATAGGCATTGAATGTGTCAGTTAAAGAAATTGCAGGTCTCATAAGTGAAGAAATCTGCCTATATATATTATAGTATATAAACATAACCAAAAGAATTAAAAAATTTATTTCAAACAAATGAGAATCGAATAGAATAAATTTAGTTACAATAAAAATTCATTATTTCTAAGTCAAAAAAATATAGGTTCCGGATAAGTAATTACGTAATCACCAACATATCATATACTCAAACCTTCTCCGAAACACGCTGCCTCTTATGGTATAAGTATTATTGCGATCGGTTCAGTAGTTTTCGCAGTATAACCGGACAAAAAAAACTGGCTCTCCATTTATTAGTATAGATATAGGTTAGATAGTCAAAAATTTTTTTTTATTTTTTTTTAAACTCACAACAAATACATCAAAAGACTATCAGTTTTTTGAAAGTTTCTGTCAGTTAGTTTTTTTTTATAGCTAAGAAACTGGTACAGAACTGTAGAGAACGTATGCAATCAATGTTAAATATCCAACTTTTAACTGAATTCATCTTGGGTTATAGGTAGTCAATCGAAATTTTAAGGGTAATTGTATCATCATGTCCTTAATAAGTATACAAAAATATAGAATTTTCTGATGGTATGCCTTAGTTTCGACAACTACTTTAAGCTAAAATTTTTAATTTTTTAAAGGAGGATAGCCACTTTGACGGCCGAAAAAATAGGTGATTTTCGGGAATTTTTTTGATCAGGAAAATAAATAAATTTAGGAATCAGGTTTTTTTTTTTTTTCTATGAAATGTGTGTTTAAATTTTCTGCTCAAATAATACTATCTATACTCGCGTACAGTGTTGCCACATTGTTTCTAGCCAATTCACTGACTGGTATATTTTTTCATTTATTGTTGGACTTTCAATTGCTATATCTCAATAATGAATCGGTGAATACCGAATTTCTTCAAAAATTTCTGATTGTTTGTTTTTTTATTAAAATCGTGAACGTTACTTAGAATGTATACCTTATTGCTCGCAATAAAAATAATCCGAACTTTGATTATAAGTAGATCGAATTTAAAACGGCCAATCTACTTGAAATTTAAATGGTAATTGTATCTTAACACCCTTAATGAGTATACAAAAATTTAAAATTTTCTGAGACTATGCTCTTAGCAAGACAATTAAATTATAAAAGCATCAGCAGTTGGCGAGAGTTTTAAAACTCTTACAAGGAAGGTCAAGGTTCGATTTCTATTGCGGACAATCAAAATATAATTTTTTATTTTTAGTAATTTATTTTCTGTTGTGTATAAAGTGTTAATTAAAATGTATTTTTGATTTTTCAGCGAGAAACGACTTCGTAACAGCTCTCTACATAATTTTCCTCGGTATAGTACCGACAATATCATTAATATCTTTCTTCGTTTGGTACCGAAAAAATAATCCATCACGCCCCGGCTGGAAGAAGGATATTTTATCACCGTATGTATCCAATTTACCATGTTTTAAAAATAATAAGCGTCCCAATTTGTCTCCGAGCATTAAGAAATTGAGCAATAAACAATTAAAAGTCTCGAGTAAAAATAAATTTATAAATATTTTTAAATTTTCACGCGACAATAAAAATAATAGTAACAGCAACAATGAAAACTTGATGCATGGGCATGACAATAATAAAATATTTACTATAAATACTCTGTCACGTGACAAAATAAATATTCAGCGTAAAAATCTCGTCAGTACAACTAATCAAGACGTTATTAATTGCTCAAACAATATTATTGCACGTAACTCATTATTTTTACCACAGAGTGACGTTAGTAATGACAATGTTAATGATACCATGCCTATCTATGCGAATGTCAGTAAAATAATAGCACGTGATGGCGATAGTGTGCCGAAAAAGTTGCACGAAAATAATTGTGATATTAATGTTAATGGTAAGAGTAATTTAAAGGTGGAAAGTAAAAAAGATAAAAATTTCAAAGATTTGAAATTAAATACTCGAATTGATTTTAAACAATTGGAGGAAAGTCCTGGGAGTAGTGGATCGGCAGGTGTTTTGTTAGAAGTTAATAGAAAAAATAATGAGCCACTGCCTTTTTACAATAAAAAACCCCCACCACCTCCTGCTCCACCTAAGAGCAATAAACCGAAATTGTTTAAATAATTTTTTGGTATTTATGTACTAAGAATATTTTGTCGATTAATTTTTGTACAGTTAATAACTATTCGGCCGTTAATTCATCGACTGGTAATAATAAAGTTGCAAAAAATTTATTTTTTCAACAAGATCCTCAATTTTATTTAAAATATAAGTAATTTAATACATTTTTTTGGGTGCATTTCTTTAAACTTGATTAATGATATGATTTAAATTATTAATTAAAAAAAAATATTCTTAGTTTTTTTTTAATCCTTATAAACAATAAGTTTATAACTTTAATAATTACTCAGTAGAGAATTACCAAGTCGATAAATAGATTTTTAATTTTAAGATAAATAAAAAAATTATTTTTATAAATCCATGAAATATTTTTGGTGCATTTATAACAAAAAATTTAGTGATAAATAAGACTATTGCACTTTAGATAATAAAACAGTAAATATAAAAAAGTATTTTCAAGAAGATCTAGTAGCTAGCATGACAAATTTTTTTTGAATGCGAGAAAAAAAAATTCCTTTAAATAATAAAAATAACTGACAAAAATTAGTGAAGAAATTACAGTTATGGTCGTAGAGCAAAATTGCGTGGACTAAAAGATAAAATAATAGTACGCGCCGCACGCGCTAATTCTCTTAAATGAATTTAATGGAGTTTTTTTTTTAATTTAAATACAAAAAAGATAAAGTTTGCCGTAAGAATAATTTTTCTTGCCCAGATTAATCTCCTTGATTAAAAAAATTTTTATTTAAAATACTCTCTTAAATATAATAAGTAATTGCATTTGTAAAAATCAATGCATTTGTTTATAAACATAACATATCTTTTATTTAATTGATAATTTAATAGTATTATATTATTTTTAAATAAATTACGCATGTTAATTGCATGTTTGACTACTGGGACTAGATATTAATAATTTAATGTGCAATTTTGAAAATATATATTCATTTTATTGATAAGAATTTTTTTTATTGTGCATACACTTCTTTTTTATTTTAATATGATAGTCATGTAGGTTTTTAAGAAAAATATATTATTTAATTTAAAGTAGGTTTTTTTTAAATTGAGAAAATTTTTCATTTTCAAATACAAATTCACTAGTTGTTGCAACAAGTCAATAACGATTTTCAAAAAATTTTTTAAACAAAATTTTGAAAATCAGATATTTTTTAAAAAATACACACGGGTGCTAAATTTATTGAAAATCAATTTTCAAGATGGTAAAATTTTTGAATTAAACAAAAAAATTTGATTGAGAATTAAAGAATCATTAAATATATACTATCGCAACTTAACTATCTCAAAGTCTAAATAATGAAATAAAAACAATAAATAACAAGCCAATTGTGACTTAAATAAACAGAAAAAGAAGACGAAATAATTCTTAAAGCAATAAAATAAGTTCATTAAAAATAGCAACTACCTTAATTTCTCATCTTTGAATAATTAAAAAAATTTCCACTTATCGCTCACATTAATTTAAAAATTGCACATTTAATAAAGTCAACTGTGATCCAGCATGCGTCATAAAAAGCGATATCAATTTCCACTGTATTTACAAACCAAAACCAAGTACTTGAAATAAAAGTATTAAAAAAAAACCAACAGAAACTCTTGTCTTTCTTATTTTATTATTTTCTCAGCTATTAATTTTAAATCTTTACTAATTTTCCCGCTTTTTGCACGGCATGACTCAAAAACAAAACGACAAATATTCAAATTCAAATTCTACCGCTCGCCCAATGAAACCCTCCGCTTACCCGCTTTTTTTTTTTAAATTTCAGACACGAACGTGGATTCGTCAAGACGATAGACCGACCGGCATATCCCCACCCACTGACCGGGATCGAGACAATAGACTCTACCTTATCATCGGATCCAGCGTGCGCGAGTCTCCTTCCCAAGCCCGAGAACGAAGAAAACTTCAGGAACAATATGTTCGGGCACTTCAAAGGGTTCACACTTAAGCCGCTGCCAGAGGATTCACAAACCAGCCCTCCACCCGTCCCAGGGTTCCCAGCCTTCGTCCCTCCCGGCCCAGCGCTGCCACCCCTGAACCCCGGTAGCACAGCCCGCCCTCTAATTAGCAGTCCAGTCCTAGCTGCCACTACATGCACCACAATGGAACTGCCAGTTCCTACCCGACCGGCTCCAGATGTGCCCGCTCGCCCCCTAGAGACACTCGAGTCAACTACTTCTCTGTCCCAGTCGTCGACATCTCCCGCCTTAGCGTCCCTGCCCTCCATTTCCATTGACGACAGGTCCAAGTCGTCGACCCTTAACCGAATTGCCTCCATTTTGCGACCTCAAGCTCCAAAAACTCGCCATCAGAAGGCGATAAAGGTCGACAAAGAAATCCTCCGTAATCTGGAAATTTCTGCCCCGATTCCGCAGCAGAATATCCAGATTACAGGGTCAAATCTCGTACTGCCAAATTCTACAGATTCCGTAGACGGTTCATTGGAAATCTGCCCTAAAGTTTCAGAGGACAAAAAGGTAGTGATGCGTGCACAGAGCATGCGTGATAGCAAACAACCAAGACCAGCAATCCACTCGTTTGGGTCCATGCGCTCCACCCTGAAGCGGCCTTCCTCAATTCCAAACAATCGGCCTACCGCGCCACCACCTCCAGTCCCCAAACAGGAGACCCTGAACCTGGATCTCAAGATTCCTGGGCTACCGGGCTACCAGACGCCGATTACTCAAGCAAACTTAGTTGGGAAACAGGAGGAATACGATGACTGTATGAACCTTGTCCGCGAGAAGTCTTGCGACAACATCTATGCGGTGATCGAAGAAGTTGATGATAAAACTTACAAAGTCCCCAAACCGGTGGACAACGGACTCGGCCTCCTAGGAGAGATTGTCTCTGAGATTTCCCACAGAAACTTTGACTCGATTTACTCGAGTTCAACTTTGAAAAGGAAGGAAAAAGAGAAAGCTGATGGGAATTACGTGAATGCTAATGCGAACCACTATAAGTCTCCAGCTAGTATTTACTCGAACTCCTCCACGGCTATGTCCGCGGTCCTGTCAGAAACTTCTTCCGGATACTTGCTACCCTCTGCTGTTAACGTGCCTTGTCTGGGAGGAAAAGCTCCTGGAAATCTGGGAGAGAAAGGGAAGATCGAGGACAAGTTGAATAGGTTGGAGTCTAGCAATCCGAATGTCAATGACTCGATGTCCAAGGCTCTGGGGATGAAACCTCCGAGTCCGGTCAAGGCCGGGAAGAAAGAAGAGAATTTAAAGGGAAGAAATTCTATGAATGAGAAAAGTCAGAAAAAAAAGATTGGAAGACAAGAATCTGATGGGGGTCTTCAGGGGAAAGGCACTGGGAATGATGATGGGAAGGTTATAAGTCCTGATGTTGTTACTAGTTGTAGTTCTACGAAGGCTACTGAGCCTGATGTTTTAAGCGGAGGGAATCTAGGAAGTACTGGAAGTTCAGACGGCAAAGGCGGAAATTTAGGAAACAAAGGAAGAACTTTTGGTACTAATCAAGCAAATTTAGGAAATAATAATAAGGGAAATTTGGGAACTTATGAAAAAAATATAGGTATTTTAAATTTAGAAGAAAATGGAAATTTGGGAAAAAAAGGAATGACTAGTTCAGTAAAGAAAAATGAAGATAATAAAAAAAGTAATAAAAATTCAGAAGAAATGTTGAGAAGTTTTACTGGGAAAGGGAGTTTTGAAAGTAGTGGAGGCTTAGGAGATAAAGAAGGAAATTCTAAAAGAATTTTAGGAGTCAATGGAAATTCTGGAGTGAAAGAAGTCTTGGAAGATGATGGAAAGAAAGAAAATTTAGGAAGAAATGAAAGTCATGAAGAAAAAGGGGGAAATGACACGAAAGATAAAACAAAGCCTCCAACAATGAACAAAGGTAAAGTAGTCATAAGACCCAGTAGTATTGTTGCTAAAGCAGCGACATTTGTTGATCGGAAAAAATCGCCAACTTACGGAGTGAAATCAGTGACATCAGGGTTGAAAACTCCTCCCTCGCCGTCCGGAAGCAATAAGTCAGTAGGTGGCGTTGCGGGAACAAAAAGTTCGGTCACCGGTGGTAGTACTAAAAACTCCGTAGGGAGTGGAGCTGTTACTAAAGAATTAGTTAATAAAGTTGACAAAAATCTGGGAAGTCCAGTTAAAAAAGCCGCTAGTAGCAAAACAAATGTTGCGTCTTTACAACAGAAGTTTGAGCCGAAATTTATTAACATGAACGCCGGAAAGAATGTGAAGAAACCCGGGGGCAAGTAAGTTTAGGTTAGTTAATAAATTTGTTTCTCTAGTCTACAGTTATTGACTGATGTTTTGTTGTTAATAATCATTGATGATGATTAATGTTGTTAGTTGATAATGAGACAATTGTTTGTATTAAATGCGCTTGGCAATGCAGCTTTTCAATTTGAACAATTTAAACTCTGTGATAATACTTACGCGAAATGATTACTATTATTTTTAAAATGAATGACATGGATGTTGATTCAAATTTGCAAATTAAATATTGAAGAATACTATGCTTAGCGTCTTAGGTTTATTTTGACTGATGTAAATATGTTGATACTGTTCAATGTAAACCAATTAGATTATTTCGACAAACAGTTAATTTGATAAGCCAAAATTCGAGAGATCCGTCGCTGCTTGTAAAAAAAAAAAATATTTTTTAATTTGAATTTCGCGCCAGTTGAGTGCGCGCAGATGTTGACATTTTGTTTTGTCGTTGTCGCCGTCTTGTGCAGCAGAATATAGTTTTTGGACTTTTCAGTTTTTTTTTGTAAATTTGAAGGCTAAAGATCAAAAAAATATGCTTAAAAAAAATTAAAACTGAAAAATTTTACACGGTAGTTATCGGGTCTCTTAAAAATAATCAAATTAGAACTTAAGAAAAATTGTAAAATTTTGTAAATCACGGAATATAACTTTTTCTACTTTAAACTTAGGATGAGCAATGAAGAAAATGAATGAACAATTTATTATAATTATTTATTTAAAATAAATATTATCGTAAGAGCTTTTGTATATAATTTTGCCTTTGTCAGTAATGGTTGCTAATTTATTCTTCTTACTATATATGATGGCAGATGATATATAATAGATGTTAAAACGAAAAATAATAATTTAGGAAAAAAAAAAATTTTATCAAACTTCTTATTTTACATAAGGTTGATTTAATTATAACTTTTCGTAACAAAAATATCCAACTTAATACAAAATGACCGCATTTAAGCCACAAGTGTTCAAGCTTAAAGTTTAATTTAAAACCAAAGACCATTTTTTAAATAATTTTCTTCTCTTCATATCATATTTTCAATTATAAATTACAGTGCTATTGGTAATTTATTAATTTTAATCACTACGAACAGAAAATAAATATATAGATTTATGAATGATATAATTATATTTGTAGATTAATTATAAGCCAATATATGTTAATATAAATTATTTTTTAATTCAAATGGTGTTTTATTGTTTATTTTCATTTATTTCACCATTTTTTTTTTTATCTTAAAGACTATACTGAAACAAATCTACTTATTTAAGAACGATGTTTTTCTCAAAAATTGATCTTCACCTTGTCTACGAATCATGTTTATGATCATTGAACGATGAGAATGTCCTTCTGGTAAAAAAATAAAACTCCTGATATCTTTTTCTCTTCTATGTTCAACCTTTAAGTGACTTGAAAATTTACTTTATAAAGTTTTGCAGTACGGACAAAAGTATTTTTCAATTTCATTTTGAATCACATAAACAGGTTGGAAAGGAGAAATGACGAGTTTCGAATGATGAAATTTGCTAGACAGGTTAGACTTTGAATCTTTTAAGGCCATTCGTGGAGCTAAATAAAATAAATTAAATTAATATTTTACAAAATAATTTAAATCACTACATCGAACCATCTTATTATAAATTTTATACCTTAATAAGATCAAGTCTGACATAATATTATAGATAAATATATTTAAGGCCCCTATAGCAGCCAAAATAATTGAAAATAGTATCTATTAACCTACAGAATAACTAATGTATTTTTTATCATATCAAAAATTCTATTTAATAGCTTAAAGATCTTAAATTTGTTTAGATACGTAAATAAATATTTGAAAAAAAAAATTGAAATATATAAATAATTCTAGTCTAAATGAGATAGTTATGATGTTAGATGAGAAATTTCAATTGTTTGTAAAATATATTTATATAAAATGGTTCACTGTAAGTAATTATATATATTCATATACCTGCTGCTTTTAATGAATCATTAGTATCCATGTTTTGGCCAGTTTCAAAAGTATTTTGATCAGAGGAGCAAAGTACGGATGAGTTATTTTCTTGACCCGTGAAAAAATATTCTGATCAGGCTTGATATGAGTTGATAAGGCCATATAAGAATTTCAGTCAAGAGTAAATTTTCTTAATTCAGAATAATCTTAAGGAAGACTGATAATTTCTTAAAAATTCTTTAACGGAGTTACATTTTCTTGAACCAAAAAAATTTCTTGCTCCAAAATAACTTTGGTCTTCCTCTTAATTTTCTTGGTCCAAGAAATTTTTTTTTCTGTGCAGCAGAAATTAATTAGAGTTTTTTTCATATATATTAGAAATAATTACTGAAGAAAATGAAAATACTCATGATGAACTTCCAACTTCAGCCAAGGATCAAAGAGAACAAGATTTGGAGTACTTTTTTGATCCTGAACGTGGTTTATCGGGGGGAACTTGAACGATTGGTCAGTTTTGAAGACAAAACTGTCGTTGAAAAAGAAATGGATCAATATGAAAAAGAGCTCATCATCTCAAAAGGAGAAAATCCTTTGCTATGGTGGAATTTAAAGCGTCACAAGTATCCAATTTTAGCTACTTATGCTAGAAGATATTTGGGCATCCCGTCGTTAAGTACACCTTCCGAGAGAGTATTTTCGACCGCAGGAAATATTATTTCTGGTAAAAGGAGTTGTCTATTACTAGAAAATGACAATTTATTGATATTTTTATATCAAAATCGTGACCTTTTAGAGGAAATAAATTAAAAATTGTAAATATATTAATAGAAAACTTAATTTAATATTAGTTTTAATTTTTTGTGTTAAATATTATATAATAAATCGAAGTAAAAATTAATAGCATTAAATTCTATCTAATAAAAATCCGCAATTTAACTATCACGTCATGATTATTTAAGTTTAATATCGTGCACAGAAAAAAAAAATTTACTTGATTCAAGAGAAAAATTCTTGAACCAAGAATATAATTTTGAAGAGGGTAATTGTCTTGAATCAAGACGAAAAATTCTTGAATTAAGTAAAATTTTCTTAAATCAAGAATTTTTACACTCAAACCAAGAATATTGAACTCTTCAAATATATATACTTGATTCAAGAACATTTTTTTTTCTGTGTGTTCACTTTTTAATTGGTTTCACTTTTAGCTGATTAGCTTAGCTAATTTGAATGACCTGGCTTAGCTGGTTAAAAAATAAAGCCCTAATAATTAATTTAGACTAACAGGAATGATTGGACAGATAAAGTCAAACTAAATTACCATTTATTGCACAAGCGCCTCCTTATTCATCATCACTTTCTTCACAAACCAAATACTCTTTAAGTATTTTTTTTCTTGTTGGACGGTGTATAAAATTATTTTCGGTGGTTGAAAATTTTCTTGTATGGAGGTAGTTGGACGATTTGATAGCTTTACTTCTTTACTACAAATATCAATTTTCAATGAATTCGTTTCTTCTTCATTTTCATCATTACTATAATTTTTATCTATAGCATTATTTCTACTAACCTCTGGCGTTATTAATCGAAACTGTTGAAGTTCTTCTTCGATATTAATCTCCTGATTTTCAATTATAAGTGAATTATCCTGTATACTTGACGATGTGGACTCTACGTTTTTTATTATTTCATTTAACTGGTCATCATGATTATCATTGTCACCATTGCTACCATCATCATCAGCATTATCGCTATCACCGCTATTATCAATCTGACGATAATAATGATTATTATCATTATTTTTCTTGTCATTGTCTTTGTAATTGTAAGTATCAATGTCATTATCACTATATCCGTCAGCATCACCGTCACCGTTATTCTCACTACTTTTATTAATTCTCCTAAAAATTCTACGTTTATAAACTTTTGACGATTCATTGGTATCTTGATTGATGTCTTTTACGTTTATAATTTTAACTTCTTCGCTATTTTGCTGAAATTCCACTAAATCTGCTAATACTTTGTAACAAAACTGTTCCCGAAAATTTAAACAAATTTTCACCGGAGGCGGAGATACCGGCTGGGTAAGGTATTTTACGCTCGCCCTTTGTAATAAATAATAATAAAAATCAACCCGAAACTCCTCAGGCTGGGTTAGTGCACGAAAAGGACGCCAGGTAATTTTATCTAGAAATTACCAAAATTAATAAAAATGCCAGGGGCCTCGCCGGACGATCAATTAACGATCTAAATTAATGCGAATGGAAAATAAATCACGAAATACTTACAGTCAGGATTAATATATAATTTATAATCAGAAATACTAAGTAATTAATTATAAATAGTACCTCAAATTATTTAATTAAATAGGAAAGTAAATTGCAGGAAAAGATTCCGGGAATTAACTTATATAAAATAAATTATTATTAAATCGGTGAATATTAATAAAAATAAATTATTTATTTATAAATGTTGTTACTTAAACTAAATATCTTTTCTAAATAACAAAATAAATTCTTTATGAAATTCTGATTAATATATATAACTTTTTCTTTAACTTAATTTATAATATTGCGTTCGAGAATAATAATAATCGCAATGAAAACAATAATTATAATAATGATTAAAACTTAGTACTATTCAATTTGTTCTGCGCTCGAAAATAGCACTTGCAGTAATAATAAATATTTAACATTAATAATTGTAAATATAATTGAATTATCCTTATTATAATTAATTTTAAGGATCTATAAAATCTGAAAAATTTAATTGTTTAATGAAAATTTAAAAATTTCAGCCAACAATACAGAGATAAAATATAAGAAAGTCACCGCAAAAACTACTGAAAATTCTTACTTCAAAGATGTGTCAACGGAAATTTTCGATTCCGGCGAGAAAGGATCTATGAAATTTACAATCGCTAAACAGTTACCTGAGACAACTACGCTAATTTTTTATTTTATTTCAATGCACTGATAGAATGATTTGTTTATATATTTAATACGCTTTATTAACTGTTAATAAATGATTTTTTAACATCATAGGATTTAATAAATATTTATATTAAAATTTTAATTTAGCCTCTAATAGTAGATTACATACCTAGGCCAGTAAAATAAGAAAAGTCTCAGACCACATGTAATTGTTGGCCGAGGCGAAGCCGAGGTTGACAAATATGTGGTCTGAGGCTTTACTTTTTACTGGCCAAGGTATGTATACTATTTTTCTGCTCGACGTAGCCGGAATGTGGCAACTTTGTTTAGCGCAGCGGCCAGAAAGTTGCCACTTTCCGGCCGGAGGGCAGAAAAATAAATTTGTATAATTAATTATTTATTTTTAAAATAGGTATCATTAGCTGTTGAGTTGAAAGGAGAAACAGTCGTAGATTTTGAAGATTCTGTATGTGAATTGATGAAAAACGAAGTTTACGGTAAAGATATGCTCAATCATGGATTGCCTAAGGATAAATTTCCTAAAGATTGTCCTATAATTTTGGTAAGATCGCACGCTTATTATTAATTTTCTTTCAAATTAAAATTATTTATATCTTCAGGGCGATTTCGAAGTTAGCAAATATCCGCTCCCGAAGGACAACTTCCCTCCGGGCACTCCACCTGGTAAATACAATGCAAAAATAGTTGTCGGCGAACCTGGCCAAGAGCCATGGATGATAGTGGATGCCCTAATGGAAGTCTCTCATGACGCTCCTGGAGTACCAGCTCCTAAACTAGGACGTTAATTCAATTCCAAACTCTTTTCTTCTCATCGGTTGCGACAATATGGCTAAATATCACATTTTTCTTCTTTTTTTGTAGTGAATAGAAGCGCTTCAGTAGATAAATAAAAAATAATAGTTCAGCAGTTATCAATTGCTTTATTATTTCTTCAGTATAATTCAATTAACATACACATTAATTAATTTAATTAGTCATTTTTATATGTGTGCAACTAATATTTAAAAAATTTATCTATTAGCAACAAAATCTCGTTGCTTATCGCTAAAAAAATAATTTTAAATTATTTATAAGTCAGCTGCCCTTCTGACGTTAATGTTACCAAAGATTCACCATTGCTGGGCTCAAAAAAGGAGTATTTTACGATAAAATCCCCGGCTGGTACTTCGAATGGTATATTTTCTGCAGTAAATTTGTAATCCCTTACTCCGTAATCACCCTGAAGAAATAAAAAACAATAATTAGCAGAGTTTAAATGAAAAACAATTAGTCATTACGGCTGCCCAATTTCAAAACACAGTTACTAACATTTCAAAATTTTTTCCAATTTTTCTTATTAAAAAAAGTTTACCCGCCAAATTGATGAAAAATTTGATTTATGAATAGAAAATACTTGAATATAAATATTTTTAAGAAAAAATACTTGACATTAAGGTCTAAAAGTTATAAAAAATGCAGCAATACTAAAAAAAATTAAGTATAAAAATTTTGCAGTTACTGTGTTTTGAAATTGGGCAGCCGATTAGCTAAAAGAATACTTACCGCTTTTATTGGGCAGCTTCTGGGAAACTTATCCTTAGGGTATCCATGATCCAGTAAGTTTTGATCAGCCATTCCTGATTCATAGCTTTCACATACACCTATTTCGATGAAGAATACTCGGTCACCATTTACTTCAGCGATAATTCTAGCCTATGAATTAACTAAATTATTTATTGATTACAAATAATTTTAATTATTACAAAAAATATTAGATTACCATTAAATCCTCGGGAGGATCTGCTTTTACTGGAGATCTTGCGGAAAGTGTATCACCCCCTTCGTTTATTTCAGTAGACCAATTCTCGAAGTAAGGATTACCAGGCTGCAATTCTACTGTAAAATTAGTATACTTGAAAACTGGAATTTTCTGCAATTAAAAAAGTTACAATCAATAACAAATTATATTTCAAATAATTATTTAAACTCACATTTCCAATTACCGCTCCAAAAAGCGTGATTAGAAATACGGATAACGTATTAGAGATTTTCATCTTGACTCTGTGGATGAATTGAAACTGAAAATAAAATTCCGGTTGTATTTATTGAATTAAATTATGCTTATCTGATAATCAATAAAAATGTAAATCCATCGTCACGCACTGTCGCATTTTCCGAATCTTGCATGATTGATAGCGTGCAATTAATATCTTATTAATCAAACAGGATGTTAATTCTAAATAAAAATAAAAATAGGTTATATAATAACTTTTGTAACTAATATTATTTTTTTAAATGTGATTAATACTGATAAAATTTGTATCAGTTCCTTCACGACAGTTACATAACTTTAATTCGAACAATGGGATCTTTTTAGGGCGAATTTTTCATTCTGCTCATTAATATGCATCAAATGATTGTTTATAATCTTCAATCAGATTTTTTGAAAAAACAGGATACACTTCCCATAAATAAATCAATACAATTTAATTACAAGTTAGAAATCTGATTTTCCAACAATGTATTTATGGAGAAACTTATAATTAAATATGCAAACAATAGATTAATCAAATTAATATAAATAGCCGCGAAAAAAATGATAATTCATACCTTCAAAAAAACACCGTAAAAATGGATCTCAAATACTTGGGAATTTTCGTCGCCATTTTGGTGGTTGACTTATCAGCAGCTGAAGTAGATGTAAGTAATATTTATTATAATAATTATACAGCTTAAATAAATGATAGTTAGCCGAACTAAAAAGTATAAAATAATTTTCAATGAGCTTGAAATAAAATTAGAGTGATTAATAAATAAATTAATTTTATTGTAAAAAAGCCGTGGGGTGCTTATTAATATCAACTGAAATTTTCAGCCAACAATGGTGATAAAATATAAGAAACTCGAAGCAACTACTACCCTGATTAAAAAAAAAGTATTGAAAAGTATTGAAAAAGTATGTAATTCAATACTTTTTCAATACTTTTCACACACTGTATATCTATATATACATACAATATAGATATACAGTTGCATGGTTCAATACTTTTTTTAAATCAGGATATTGACAATCCTTACTTTGGAGAGGTAACAACTGAAATCTCAGATTCTGGATTGTTAGGATCTGCGAAATTTGCATTTAAAAAATCTCTTCCTGAAGAGGCCGAGGTAATTTTACTACATTATAACCTCTAAAATAAATTTATATAATTAATTTACTAATTTTTTAAATAGGTATCACTAACTGTTGAGTTGAAAGGAGAACAAGTCGCAGATTTTCAAGATTTTGTATGTGAATTGGTGAAAAACGAAATTTATGGTAAAGATATGCTCAAGCATGGATTGCCTAAGGATAAATTCCCTAAAGAGTATCCTTTCGCTCCGGTAAGGTCGCATTCACATTTTTAATTTTCTTTTAAATTAAATTCATTTATTTCTTCAGGGCGATTATGAAATATAAGCAAGTATCCGATTCCGAAAGAAAAATTTCCTCCAGGCACGCCACCTGGTGACTACGATGCAAAAATGACTTTTGGCGTACCCGACCAAGAGCCGTGGGTGGTAATAAAAGCCGTAATGGAAGTCTCTCATAATGCTCCTGGAGCACCAGCTCCTGGACTAAGACGTTAAATTAATATCAGATATATTCTTCTTTTTCGTCCATTTTAAAGATTTATTTTTATTTAATATTGTTCTATGTTTGTAGTGAGTAGAAATGCTTCAGTAGATAAATAAAAAGTAGTGCTGCAATTAATCCTTGTTTACTACTTAGATGGTATACATCTTGAGAAAACATAACCTACATCCTTAATTCTATCATTTTTAATTCTTTTCAATCAATATTTTTAAACAGGAATTATTATACTTATATAATTTGCATAGAGCGAATTTTTTTAATTTTTTTTTTCAATCAATATTTTTAAACAGGGCACAAAAAAAATTTTTAATTGTTTTTAAAATTAAATTACTAATTTATTTTTTTTAATTACAGAACAAATATTTATTAATTATAATTTATAATTAATTTTACACAAGTCCAAAAAAGACATTCATTTAATTACTTATATCTACAAATTACTAACAAAATCAAAACCGATACATAAAATTAAGAAGTTTCATGAAGATAATATAACCTCATCAACGTCCAAATCCACCCAATCCAGGTAATTTATGACTTAAATTAATGACCCTTCTAAATGAATATTAACATACGGATCTTTTCCAGGTTCATATATATAGAGATCAGAGACAACTTCGCCATCTGGGATTCCCGGAGGTATATCTGTATTCTCAATCGTGTACCTGCTTATTTCAAAGTTGGCATTCTGTAAAAATTCAAATTAATATTACTCTTAAAAAAAAAAAAAAAATTAAATTGAATCAAGAAACAAATTCATGACATTAAAATTAGCACTTTCCAATTTTTCAAATTTATTTAAAAAAAAAAATTTTTTTTTTAAATTGCAATTTTTATTTTTTTTTTAATTTCAAGAATTTTAAAGATAAAAAATTTTCCTATTTATTAAAATAGATGGTTGATTGAAGTTAGCTAAGTATCGAAATAACTCGAAAATATGGACCTTGATTCTTTATTGGTTCAGGATTAAAGCGCGCGCAATTTGAATTCTTAGTTTTTACTGAAATCAAGAAAATAAAGTTGTTATTCAAAATTATTTACTTGATTAAAGTGAATTTTATTTTTCTGTGTTTATAGAAAAATTAACGAGCTAACTTGGTAAAAAGCAGACTTACAGCTTTGACAGGCGGTGGGATAGATTCCTTTGGGGATCCCGAGAAAAAATGTTTCTATATAATCATATATAATTGTATATAATCATATATAATTATATATGACTATATATAGAGCAATATACAGCCAAGCAAGATTATATATAATTATATATAATCATACATGATTATAGATGGAATTGTATATGAAGTTATATATAATCATATATAATTATACATAACTATATATGGAGCTATACACAGCCATGCAAGATTATATATAATCATACATGATTATAAATGGAATTGTGTATGGGGTTATATATAATCATATATAATTAGATATGACTATATATGAAGCAATATACAGCCATGCAGAATTATATATTGTTCCATATATAATTATATATAAATATATATAATTATATATAATCATACATGATTATAAATGGAA